CCCAATCTCGCTGAATGGGCGTTGTCTTACACCAGCACCGGCTGCCCAAATGAAACCAACCAAGATTTCTGAATCCCTGGGCTGCTGGACGTGGGTCCCCCAGCCCGAGCCTACATGAAAACCGTCATGGGAACTGCACATCTTCTCAAATCTTCGGCGTTGCCGCGAATTCTGGTCCACGCTGAGACCAAAGGGCGGCCCCGCGTCATGCTGACCTCAACTTCAAGTCTGTGTTTACGAGTGGCGAGCCACACTGCCACGGCTGGCAGTGCGAATGAGGCTCTGATCCCGGCGTGGACGGCGTGCTTCAAATCTTCAGCCCTCTGCCCTCCAACGCCTTGGCAGCACCAGGTCATCAAATGGACCGGGATTCCGATTCCGATCTCAGCTGCCTTCGGCAGTGATTTCCTGCACTAAACCACTCACCTGTCAAAAGGCATCTTTAGTGGTGCAAACAGCTGTCACCTGGCCAAACCATGCCAAACCTTTCGGTTCAATGGTGCTCCAGCTCTGCTACTTGACCGCCGCAGAACACAACAAGCAGCGACCAGCTGATGCCTGATTTTCAGACTGCTCTGCTATTAGACGATGACTTGGCTGGATGTTGTTTGGCCAGTCATGATTAGCGCCTCAAGCAACTCTGTGAACCAACCGGATTGTGGTTGGCAGAAATGGTTGCATCTACGGCGGATCTACAGAAGTAGGTCTGTATCCCATAGGGCAGAGCCTTTATCCTCCCATGTAGATACAAGTTATTACCGTAATGATGATATTTGCGCCGATGTCGGTCGGTGTGTCTCTGAGTGTGCGTGTGTCGTTGTTGTGGGTTTGCCTGTCTCTGTGTCTGTGTGCTTGCCTCTGTGTGTTTTTGGGGTGCATGTGTGTGTGTGTGTGTGTGTGCTGGTGGGCGCGACCCCGCCTCCCTCTCTTCAAGCTTCAACTGCGAAGCCGCAACTATTTGGCAAGTGAGATGTTCATAAAATGCAGAATAGTAGCCACCCGGTAAAACACCAACTTACATTGCACACACGTACCACTAGCCCTGCTATCAACGTATTCACTCCACCCTGCTTTGGCGAGAGCACGCACTGCTCTATACGACTAAATGTGCAGCATCGTCCATTCGGATGCCAGGGGTCAGCGGAGCCTGTTTCTGCTGACTCATGCTACATGTTCTGCCACAGGCGCATCCCCGGAATCTGAACCATGCAAAATTGTAGGAGCAAGTGACAGAAGGCTATTGGCACACGAGCAGCAAGGGAGGGAGGAAGAGGAAAGCACAGACAGAGAGCGAGAGGACAACGGAAGACAGATGAGGACAGACACACAAACCAAACAGAGAGCTGTTGATTTTGTATGCGCGATATACGCGCACATGTATGTGTATATATATATATATATATACACATACATACACATACATACACACACATACATACATACATACATACATACATACATACATACATACATACATACGTACATACATCTGCCTGATCGGTACACAGATAGGCAGCGACCAGTACCGGCGAATGGAACAACGGAAGGATGGATGCAAGAAGAGGGAAGTAAGAATGGACCAGTCCATGCCCAAGCATACAACGTAACACATAGTTGACTAGAGTTACCGGCTAAGTGTATCCATGCTTCCGTACGAGCAGCTATGTGTTCAAACGGTCAGGCCGTAGGCGCACAGGCAGAGAGACCGACGAGGGGCATGCGCAAGACGGAGACATAAACGCACCTGCAGCTTCAAGACGAGATGGGCGCACATACCTTCATCATCGCGAGCCATCGGTTGAACTCGAGCTCAACGGCTTTGAACTCCCTGCTGTGTTCCATGTATATTTTTGTGTATATGTATATGTGCACAGATATTTGTCCAGGTTGTGGTCAGCTTTGGCATATGTGGCATGTACACAAATAGGTGCATGTGTATACGGTAATACGAATACGAATATGAGATGACTGAATATGTGTGTGCAGGCATGCATACCCGTACATACATACATACATACATACATACATACATACATACATACATACACAGATCCATGCAGGCGCACATCATCATACATCCATACACGCACACAGCATCGCATACATGCAGGCATCTCATAAACGTTCACATGCTTATAGTATACATTCGTGCACACACCCACAGACCCCTTAAAGACCACCGAAATGCCTCCCGCAGAGCCCTGGCTCCGAGCCGGATCCAAGTTCCTCTTCACGCGGGCAAAGAGGCGATCTCCAGGCAAACCTTTGGATTTCGCTTGCAAATGGCCAAGCTGACCTACTGCTCCAGCGCCGAACAAGGAGTTGCCGCGCTTGGCAAGGTTTGCTTGTCTGCTTCTGTTTGCCATCATGTTCCCGGCTTGATTGCGTGAGCCGCTGTGTACTGCATGCACGCACGATGACGCACGATGGATGTTACAGAAGCACTCTAGTCGCGATTGCCATCCTCTCTGCAGCCGGATCACAGCAAAAGTCTGCGTCTCCTTGTCGACAGCTTTGGTGAAGTCCCACCTTTGCAGAAGGTTCCCCAAAGCAAAGGAATGCCGGACTGGATGCTCCGACGTCTCCCACCCTAAAAGCATCCCAGCAGTTTCTAAACGCCGACATACACATATTATGCAACCCCTGTGGCGGCCAACACCCAAGATCTGCCGACAACAGCAGCACTTGAGCACAACCAGGCATAACGACATTGCATTGAAAGCTGGAAACTACAGTTGGAACCCCGCCCCCCCCCCACTCCATTTCTGCCGAATTGCATCTCCTGACCCTTTGGCAGGCCGCAGGTGCTAAGCTCGGCAAAATTATGCTGAACCTCGGTGCGCCAGTTTATTGAAAAAAAATTACCACGCGTGGGTAGCCGGAGATCGGGCAGAATGAGCATCGATGGTGACGGCTCCGGTGCAGGTGTTTCGGACGGGTAAGCCTGAATGAACGGAATATGAACAAGTCTTATAGCCGTTGCGGGAGATCTGCAGACTTTAGGTTCGAACAGCACCGCCCATCAAACCTTGCACTGCATGGGCTCGCGATGACTGGTAAACGCCGGATTTCGATCCCACAGCAAGCTGGCAGGCTTCATGCCTTGTAGACTGTGTTGCAGATGCTGAGTTTGATTCCCCAAAATTGAACCAGACACAGATGAACAGCCTGTGTAGAATTTAGAACTCAATCATTCGAGATGATCGATTCCTGTCGCTGCGCTCAGAAGGAGCACAAAGCAATCAGGCACTGAATCAGGCCAAGATGCAACATCAAGCATTCCGCACCAAAGCTGTTGACTGAAGACTGTAATGCAATAAAGCTCATGATGCGCAATACTTCTACACCAGCTGTCGCGATGCGACCCAAATGCAGTATCTTGTGGTTGTTCCGCCCCTACAAGGGTTGGGCCTCATCAGCGGAGACCCCTTCAGAACTTTGCTCCTGAACCCGTCCCGAGGTGACTCGGCCACCAAGGTGAAAACCCTTTGGAGCAGGGTGGGCAGACTCGCGAAGCCCAAACGCGAGCCTACCTCCCACCCCCTCCCTCCCACACCAAACTGACACACACACACAACAAACACCCTTCAAGCTTTTGAGGCAGGCACCGGTCCTCGCGGGTCGCGCTTGAAGTCGGCGCGTCCACTGCCTGGGCAGGGTGAAGGAGAGGAGTATCGAAATTATCGAAGTCCCTTCCCTCCCAGACCGGCAAGTACAGAGCCTGCTTAAACTGTTGTTTAAAATGGACAAAGTCTGCTGCCGAGCGTCTAATGGACACCTCAGATTTATGCGGAAGACAAGAGCGCGGACAGTCCAAAAGAGTCTAGAGTACCAACACTAGTACAAACACTTAAGCCAACAGCGTGCTGACTTGCCGTCACTTATGCAGGTGTAGTAGAATCTCCAATATGCCAGCCGAAGCACAAAAAAATTCACGAGGCCCCTGGCAGCCTCAGAGGTGGCCGGCAAAGGCTCCCAGCAGCAGACAAAGCGTGCAAGCCCCGTTAGCTCACACTCAGCAGCCTCTCTGCCCAAGCTGTCTCGAAATTTTCGGCAGGCGTGCCGTTAGGTTAAGATTCAAAGGCACTTAGGCAGACGTAGGCTGTAACACTGTATCCAGTCTACGGAGCCCCAGAAGCTTTGAGCTTCCCAGCACAAGGGCCTTCTTTTTCGGCGTGGGCGGGCCTCGCACTTCAGGTGCACGCTGCCCACGCCACCAGACTTCTTCAGGGAGGCACCACCTTAATCACAGCTGGTAGCGATGATGCCCGCGGTTCAGTAGGGCCCTTTAGGGGACTGTGGCTCTGTGGTTGAGTATGGGGCACAGACTCCGGTGGCTGAAGGCTTGCCTGAAGCGCGAGAGTCACCATGTTTGAAGGCTATTGCAAGGCCGACCGAACGAAGTGGATCTTTCCAAGGACTCGTGATCTGTGACGTGTGGTGCTTCGTGTTTTTTAGGTTCCTGTTTCACGCCAGTGAGAGACACGCGGATGGGGTCCACAGCAAGATCAGGTTCGACCATCTAGTATGGAGCGTGTGATGGCAACAGGTAGCACGTCTCGGATGCCCGAAACACGACTGACATCATCTTCGGCAGGAACGCCGCTCAAGCCTACTTGCTGCCAAGAGACCCTTCCCATCCGGATTGGGCTTCGGAAGCAAGACCAGCCTTGGCTTCAACTCAACCGGCCCATTAAATAATCCGAATGCAACTCGCGTCCGATGCCACAACACAACCCATTTCCTCGACTGTTGGGGGAGCTCTGCTCAAACTGCCAGGACGCTCCGCTACAATTCCCGTACGCTTTCCGTGATGCATTGATGTGACTATGCACCTCTTCCATCCTCTTCCGCTTGAACGATGCCATGGGAGCACATTTAGACGGTGAACACATTGGCTAAGAAACCTACACGACCTAATTGCCACGCCTGAGTTCGCAACGAAGGTCAGCGTGCCCCTGGTTACAAGGCTGGGCCCCGCTTGTCTACAGAGACCTGGCTTAGCTGCTGCCACGAAGCCGAAAGCTGACCTGTCCTGAAGGCATGCGAAGAGAGATCAGAGTGAGCTGCGGCATGGATTCCGAGACAGAGGCCGTGCTTCTTGGAGCTCTGACTCTGACGGAGCTTCAGAAGCCGCCACTTAGTGGACTCCCCAATAGGACGCTGCTGTCCTTCAAAGGGCAGCTCGAAGGACGGAGAGACCGTCCTGAGCAGACGACAACGGTAAATGGGGAATCCTGACCGTGTGAGAACATGACCGAAGACTGCAACGAACCGCAGCTGGATAGGATCTTGAAAGGATGTTTCCTTCTGCCCGAAATGAAAACCAGGTTTCTGCAGGAAAGACAAGTGACAAGTGACACAAACTATTTTCTAATCCAAGAAGCTGCCTTTCCTGGCCTTTGAGCTTCAAAGCGTCTACGTGCCAAAAGACCTGCCATGCAGCGAGACGGACACTTCAGCCCCTTTGGCCGTTTCCTAAAGAGATGCATCCCGCTTCTTCGGGATGGGAGAGCCTGGTGCATGCCGGTCTCCATATTCAGCGAATGCCTGCCGGTCACGCCCACAGCGAATTTTGGAGCTGCAACATGCAACTGCTGTCATAGATCCGACAATTGAAAGTGGGACCAAAAGATTGAAACAAGTCAGCTGCGCTTCACCTGTTACCAACTCGAAGGAAGGGTGACAAGTCAAACCAAGTCTTTTCCGAGTGCCGGCCCATGGTTCGAAAATTTGACACAGCCGTTCACGTCTGCTTCAATTACTGATGCTACCGTGCTGCTGCCACACAGTTTCGGCGACAAACGACATAGTAGTTCGAAGCGATTATCAGATGCCGTGAGGGTGGCATGAGGCAACCAGCCTGATCGTATGAGGCTGCGGATGAAATCCCTGCCAGGCGGAAGTGCCGCTCAAGTTATGGCTCCGGCTTAGCGGTAGAAGCGGCAGAGGTTCAAGCAAGTTTTACACTGTTTGCCTTCTTCTACGAACGCTGTCTCGCTCGTGCTCCGCTCGCAAAGGCGGGACATTAGACTCAGCAAGCTTGGTATCCCACGACGACTTACGTGCTATTGGTACAACCCACTCTTGCGAACAAGTCCCGTGGTTCGCGGCTGCAGAAGTCTACTCTGCACTACGACGGGCGTCAGAATGTAGGACAATTTCTGATGCTGTGAAACAATGAAAGGCAACCCAAGCAGGGCTGGTCCTGCAGCCCCACTGGGCAGGGAGACGGTGCAGGCTGCGGCCTCGTCCGTTGGATAGGCTGATAAAGCTTTCAGGGTCGTGCTTCGGGAAGTGACCACGAAGTGAGGTATGAGTAGCTTTGCATGCTGCTGTTTCTGTTGCTAATACCTGTTGCAAGCAGGTGGGAGAGAAGATTCGGCATGAAAGGTTTCCTGCGTCGATACCAGCGCATTGCTTGGATGGTCAGAGTCATCGCCCTCCAGCGCAATGTTGGGGGGGGGTTCAAGGTGGCGCGGTGCTGCTAAACCTGAAAGTATTTGCGTTCTACAGCTTGGTGGATGAGGAATCTGAAGCTTCAAGTCCCACGGCTTTGTCGACAAAGCACTTGCCTGACCAAGAGATCCGCTGTGGCGAATGTGACGCTACGTAGTCACTCGAAGGTGCCCTGGGACGCTGGCTGTTGCGGTGGAGATGCCGGTCGCGAGTCGGGCGACTGCCTCAGACGCGGCGTGCTGACTCTGAGGGCTGATCCAGGGCTGAAGCTTCAACTCATAAGGGAGGTCACGTTAACCTGACGCCGCCCCACCCACCAGCTGTCGATTGACTACTGAACACTGCCAACAGGTTGATCCCGCAACTCCTCACACAACTTCAGCCATTTAAAGCCCCTTGCACGCGGATGCTACGCAAGACTTTCCAAGGCTGTGGCGGGCGGGAGTGCTCCGGAGAGGCATGCCTTAGTGTCTCCCTTGGCTTGGATCTAGTAGCTGCTTGCAACCCTTATCGCCTAATAGCCATCCCATCTATGAATCACACGAAGAGCACTTTTGGCAACAAGTGATGAATGAATCCTGTCCATTATCTGATGACAAAAGCATACACTGCAGCACCTGGCTGCAGTCACTTCTTTGCTCCAACTGGCATGGCATACCTAGACTTTAGGGAGTGCCTGACGCAGGATGCGACAGACTCCTCTTCCCAGTAAGAATCACTTGGGCATTTCACGAGGCCATCTTCCATTGCAAACCCACACGACATTTCTTGATTGACCCCAGTCCGTGGGCAACCTCATTGGTCATACGGTCATACTACACGAGGGTTGATACACGTTGATACACTTCCAAGATCCACTTCTGCAGAGGCTCCGACTGCGCAAATGGAGCGACTGCGTTTTACACACCAAAGTATTCGGTTGCATAGAACCTCCATGCCTGCTCAGGAGGATTCCTGTGACGGAGACCACTTGAACAGGGGCTGGCTGAGAGTCTTTGGACTGATCTCATGGCATGTTCGTAGGAGACTTCGGCTTTCCACTCCAAGAGAAATAGGTCTTTTACTGCTTCCAGCGATACTGAGGAACCGCAAGCTCTGGCGAAAACCCCAAATGCTCAAGCTCAGCTCGCGGCGACGGGTTGGGAGTGGTCAGTGGTGACAAAAGCCTGTGAAGAGCAAATGCAGGCGGATAGATGAGATGGAAACCCATGGCGCAAACAGCACATGAGACATGAGTTTCGTGCCTATCGGCCTCGAATTCTGTCTCAGGCATTCACGATATTGCGATCTAACTGCTGCATAATGCTGCATATCTTTTGGCAGGTGTGGTCCCATGCCTCACACGTCCAGAGCAGCAAGTTACACCTTGAAAGCTACAGCATCCTCTACTGAGGCATATTGAGCGCGTCTCGCTCACTCCAGCAAGTGACCCCTGGCAACAGCCAAGACACAGCTGTGGCACGAAGGCCAGCTGAGGAGAAGGTTGCGGCGAAATCTGAGGAGAGATGTGAGGAGACCTGAGCATAGAGCTGCACCCAGGTGTGCTGGCACAATGGACTCATTCATGCAGTTTCTACCATGTCCGAACTAACCTCATGAAACAGGATCAAGGGCCCTTTCTGGCCTAGGACATGGTGTCCTAGTGCTGTCCGCTGCATACTCTCGTTCCCAAAAGTACGTAAGGTACAAGGACCGGAGGTCCATGGATCTGTACATTTCTGTAGCGAAACCCATGACGTGACGGTGCAATAAAACCGATGTCCGCACAGGACTCTCTGCCGTGCATGCGTGACACATTGTATGCACCCTCAACTGAGGCATCACTTCTTCAATAGCACGCAGCAGCCGAGGTGCGAGTGCATGGACGGCTGCACTGATGACGGCCTTGAACCGGCCTGCATCTGCAGCCTCAAACGGAGCACTGGGCTGTGCTAGGAAGGCATCAACATTACCGCGGCCACGGCCGTTTCGACTAAACTCATGCGTGGACCGACGCTGCAGCCAGACGGCCAGCGCTGTTAATGCGAAGATGCCATCCGTGCACTTTGGCATAGCGGTGTTAGGGATTAAGAACACCCCTGTCTAGCGACTCCTTCAACTCCGCAGATACACCAAATCCACAGCAGCACGCGATCTTTCGGCCGGACTGCTGCCAAAGGTGTTGGGCAGACATTTGCTGGAACACCTCCAGGTACAGATTGCTCAAACGCATGTTGCGAGTTTGCCCACCCAGGGCCCAGGGGTGATTTCCGGGTTGCAAGCCAGTGACCGGACGCTACAACCCTCGAAGTCAGATTCTTCGCCAAATCCTGCCTCCAGAAAGAACCCTTCCCTCGCTCCGAAAGAGGGCCTGGCTCGCCAGAAGCTGCTGCAGCAGCTGAGCAGAAAGTTGTGCGCCCAAAGGCGGCGCCCTTGGAGAGAGAGGAAGGGGCAAACAAACCGCCTGACCTAACAGATGCACCGGCGTTCAAGATTCCAAGGCGCTAGCATATACTGAGGCAAGCTTTCACAGTCAAGGCAAACTTGATACACGCAATGGAGTCTGAATGTGGCTCTATGTGGATCTTGCTCTTATTTGTCCCCTCCCATCTTACCTTCCAAGTCACAGTCCGTAAACCTCTGGGCCCACTGTAACCGCGAGCCTCCCACAACCTGGATCCCCCGAGAAACTAACCCACGTCATTCCCGGCCTACGGAACCCACAAGTTGTCACTCAGAACCCTTCTCCACATGAGTGGGCGTCTGTCCCATTTGTGGCGTCCGCTGCGTGGAGTAGGGCGGATCAGAATCCTCCACTGGCGAGCACGAGGACTGTGTGCTTGGATGATAGCCGCCGTCAGGTGATGATCGTTGCCGTTGTAACCACCCACCATCCGAATCTTTTGCAGAAGAGTACAGTGGCACTTATGTTGCAACTTCAGGCTGGGGCCTTGGGTGCCAGTCTGATTTCGAAACACTTTCCATTTCAAGCGCCGAAAGCGAAATTTATTGCAGCCTGTACAGCGATTGTCCTTTGTAGCTCAGATTGTTCCATTGTTGCTACGACATAGCGCAAGCGACCCAAGAGCACAGCGATCGGTTCAAGTCATACATAATATGTGAAGTGTCACTCCAATTTCCTTCGAGTCCTCATTGACCTGCAAATGTTCTCAGAACTGAAGTGGCCCGCTGTGGCTTCCCAGTGTCAAAGTCAGGTTAAGTGTACAGGCCCAAGATGCTAGTCACGGCTAGTCAGGATGACGATGCTTGAGTATATTTGCAGAAATGGGGGGGCATCTGAATGCAGCAGCGCGCCTCTGAGCCCGCCCTCTTCTTTACATTGGCATCCCCCTGACATGGCTTGGGGTTTGCCGCTGGAGATCGGGGCGTTTTAGCTCCGAGCTCCGATCGTATCCCTGGCTCCGAATCGAAACCCGACAACCGCTGTCGACACGCAATGCCACCACGCTGTCGAAACCCGATACATCTTCCTGTCAAGGATCGCACCTGAATGAACCTTTATCAAAGTTTGCAGAAGTCGTACTCCCCGAGGTTCTTTGGAACGCAACACACCAAGCACCTCCCAACCCTAGACTCCAGACCCTCGACCCAAGTCCCGCACCAAAGCCGATCCGCAGGCGTGAAGTCTACAAGCTGACTGCATGGATATGAATGAGTCCCGGCCTCATCCTCAAGGCCAATTAAATCGAAGTCCACTGCAGGTTCGCCAAGCCTTCAGGTTGGCTACGGCTACAATCCAGAGCATCACAGTTTCAGGGGGCAAGACCTTGGCAGCACAAGGTCTCTGAGGGGATTCCTTGCTACCCGGCTCTCCCAGACCAAAAGAAACCTTCCGGCCTCATAAACATGATCCCCTGGATGAAGTAGCTGCAGAGAAACTGAGGATGTCGCAAGCTAAACATAAAAACACAGCAACAGCCTGTGCCTAGTCGAGACCAGGTTTCACTGTGAAAATTAGCTCTGACAAAAGACCTGCAAACCCAAACCCTGATGCAAAGTTGCATGTTCAGAGGTCTCGCAAGCATCTGCACTCTCACATCAAAGGGAGGGCAAGCAACAGCATCCTGCCCGAGGGCAGAAACACTATTTCGTCACGTGGGGTCCCAGTGCCCCGGCCATGGGTCTCTGGAAAAGGCTTCGCCTTGCTCCTGTGACCCCTTGGCTGAGCTACTGAGCTGAAAATGCCTGGGATTAGCGCAGGCTTGCCAGACTCAAAACTGCGAAGAGAAAGCCCAAGGCGTTCATTGAGGCACTGCTGGTGTCCTGAGGATCCGCTTCACACGACATGGCAAGAAGGTCAGCGGTGTTGATGACCCCAATGCCCTGACTCTGAAAGTCGATAATGGCCTCTGACTCGTTGGCATAGCTTGTAGGAGTTCCCCAGATGCCAGCGGAAGCATCCATGATGATGTTCGCCTTGTAGCCAAGAAATATGGCATCCTGCACCGTCCATCGGACGCAGTGGGTGGTGGCGATGCCTGCAGCATACACTTCGGTCACGTTGTTCTGCTTTAGGACCGCGTCCAAGTCGCTCATGTAGTTCCTAGTGTTGTCCATAAATGCACTGTACATCTCGATGTACCGGTGACCTTTCTGGACGATGATGTCGGTATTCTTCGACACCACGTCGGGCGAGAGCGTAGAATCTCCGTTCTGAAGGCAGTGATCTAACCAGAGATCCATAGCCATGCCGAAGCACTGGTCTGGAGACTCTGCGCACAGGGTGCACGCCGGATTTCCGTTGAGCATAGGATTGGTAACGTTGTTGTAGAAGCCGGCCGGAGGGCAGTACTCAAAGGGAGGATTGCAGGTGATGGAGGAGCTGTTCACATAATACTGTGGGCAGCAGGCCTCGTTGCTGCCTCCATTCTTGATGCACTGCATTGTCCTGCCAATGCTCCGGAAACGGGATGTACTTAAAACCAACCCATGTGCAGACTAAAGACTCTGAAGAGCCTTCCACTATGTGTCAAACAAACCGATGCTCAAACGAGCCAAGGGGCATGCCCCCGCGCCAGGAGTTGGACATCTCCGCGTTGGGCGAATCCTCACTGGGAAGATCGGGGAAGCAGGATGGGGACGCATTCGGGTGGGAGGTCTGTCGGGGCACAGACAAGTTTTGGCTCACAGGTCAAAGAGCAGACTGAAATCTGAAAGGCCGTAGTTGCGCTAGTTCGAAGAATTCGGCTGGCTACAGCGATCCGAAAGTTTTGAAACCCTGCGGTCCGGGGCCATGCCGTGAGAAGTCCCGAAGGAGATGTGGCCAGCTGGATGGTAGTCCTGAGCACAGGGTCTTTAGTCAACAGGTGTAGGGAGGTAAGGTGTCGATGCTGATCCGCCCCTCCTGAGTCTTCACCACAATATCGAAGAGGCAATCTTTCTGGTTGCGGATCTCGTTGAGCTTCGGGATGATCTGCGATGCAATGACCGGCAAGCTGCCATTTTCCAGAAAGCATTCCTGGGTGTCCACGATGATGAAAGCCTTCTTGGCCTCCAGACCCACGAGGGAGAGGCATGCCATTGCATACTTCAGGGCCATGGCGATCGGGAAAAGACAAAGGCTGGGCTCGCTGGTCTCTCGAAGCTTCAGCGCCTGCCAGAAACAACACCAGATTATCCCCTTCGCAGCGAACCTTTCAAGGGCAACGAACGATTAAGTGCCGGAAGAACAAATGATCCTCAATGCGCCAATTTGCCAATGCTTCCGAAGTAAATGCTTACAAATCGCACGCTTGGACATACGGGCCTCGTTGCTGTGAGACTGTTTAAAGGGTTCCAACATGTTCCCACTGAGAGGTGTTGCAACTCTGTATCTGCAAGCGTGTCGTATCCCAGGGCGCAAGTCTTTTGCTGGGGCTCAGGCTTGAAATCAGCCGCCAAATCATCTTTGTTGGCGGGCTCCTGCAATCCGTCACAGGACGGGACGTGGGCATGGACGAGCCGTGTCCAAGGGATACGCGCCAAGTTGCGCAGCTTGTTTAAGCTCAACACCTGACCGTGGCATGAGCCGATAAGACGAAGTACTTGGGATGGCTCAAGCTGCATCCATTTGGGCAAGGTAGCCCCGGCAACAGCACCAGCCACCAGCTGCACAAGCAGCACCAGCAGTAACAGCACCAGCACCAGCACCACCTCCACGAGCAACAGCACCGGCACAGCTCCAAGTACAATGAACCTCACTGTCACCACTGCACAGAAAATCTGCAATGGACTGACGTGCTTAACGCCGCCAACCCACCCTTGCCCAACCCCATGCACCGCCACGCCTGTATGAGTTGCTTCGGAGTGTGCTGCATGGCACCTTGAGTCACAGCAAGTCGCTTTATGCATTCTGAGCCAAACACAGGGATCTGACATTTGAAAGGTCTTTCTGGTTGCATCGGACTGAGCTTTTCCTGAAGACTGGAGTGTGATAAGTGGCGTTCTTACGGCACTATGCTTTAATATCCCATGTTCTGCAAGATGAGACAAGACTGACCATTCTCGCTCCGACGGCGCTAAGATCACTCGGGACCAACCAGCATCTCAAGTCGACGGGGAGTTCAGGTCAAACGGCAAGTTCGCATGGCAGGTAACAGAACAAGGGAACGCAGAGCGCTGCTCCAGTACACCCTCGCACAACCGAAACAGATCCTGTCCTCAACCCAACCCCCTGAAATGGAAAATCATCCTCAAGCGACAGAACACTTGATCCCGGCATGTTGCATCAAATGCCCAGCGACTGATCAGAAGTCCCGACGGGCCCTCGGTCGTGTCCACCGGGGCAGCGTACCTTGAGACCGTCAAGATGACGCGCTCAACACATCTCACCAATTTGACCGAACGCACATTGCTCCACCCCAGGCTCAACAGAACTCAAAGGCTTCTGATCAGCTGAGGCCACCACGGGCTCCTGGGCTCCGCAATGCTCGTGGCGATCGATACGTCCCCTTCGGGCATTTGCACTTCTGCAGCTTTGCTGCTAGAGGGTTCGGGACAAAGGGCTTAGGAACACGATGTAGGGAGATCGATCTAAATACCGTCCCGTCGCGAGGGCGCTTGACTACGAATCGGATTTGCCAGCCATTGCAATTGAGCACAGTCGGTCTGCTTGTCTCCACAAGGTTGAACCTGCTGGATGCTCAACACAAACTCCGTTCTGAAGTTGAAATGCCACATGCAGTTTCTTGTGAGACTGCCGTGCTCGCCCTGGTCTTTATTGCACTAGCCATCTCATTTGCTTTGCAACTCAATGGAGGGGCAGATGGCCGCTAGGTGGGCGAACCTTGGTTCACCTGAACGGCTTTCCTAGAATCCTAGAACTCGAGTCATGCTTTGTACTGGGTGAGGAGACGGGACAGCGCCGAATCAGACACATACATCAGCCCCGCCCCGCCCCGCCTGACAGGAATCTGTCTCGGAAGCTACTTACGCTGCCATCCTCGTTCGTCAGGATTTCTGCCTCCGGCAAAATCACAAGTATGCTCCAAAACTTGTGAGCACAGACCGCACGACTCAGCGCACGGGTGAAAGTCCCTACTGTACGCCCTCCGAGCCAGAATTCCCAGTTCTGATATCCAATACAACCAGACATCGCGGACTTCTGGCATCCATTTTCATCCATCGGAGTCGCAGTCCTATACGAGAAGTTTCATGACAAGTCCAGGACAATCCCCAAACCCTGATCTCTGTGGCCACCACCCGGTCGTCGGAGGTCTCAGCAAGTCGCTGGGGAGCAGATTTCGAGCGCTGCACGGGGCCGTCCTTCAAGCGAGTGTTTGACAAAAGCCAATCCCCATGTAGATGCCGAGAAGCTTCTTGGACTGGTGTCGGCCGGGAGCAAGACAAAGCGACTGAGAATCGACGCAACGGACATAAGAACGGAAACCGCGGGCTCCGATCCAGGACCCTACATTGCACCAGACGACGACATGCGACAGAGTTTCAGTCCTCTCTTCCTTTTTGTCGGGACAGGGGTGGTTTTGCGCTCGTCTTGGGATTCTGAAGCAACAACCTTACGTCAATGCTCTGACTGGAGCTTCACGACATGGGATGGTCGTGTCCTGATGCCCACCTCTCTCGTCGAGGAAGCCATTCTTTACAACCTATTTCGGGATTGCTGAGAAAGAACAAAGCGGGAGAAAGGCCTGTGGAGGTCTGAGGATTGGGCGATGGTGGGCCCACCATCCAGCTGACGGTGGTACGTCACCGTCGTCACCTTGAGGCGGAGGAGCGCTTTGCGGCTCTGCCTTTGCAACTCTTTTTGATGGAATTCTGAGGCGAGCACTTGTTGGCTCATGGCTCTCTCGCAGCCGCTGCGCTTCGCAGGGGACAGCTCGACACCGTGGGGCTCTTAGCCCACACCCACAGCTACTGACAGAGCCATTGGCCTTCTGCAGCGGCACGAGGCGCGTCGAAGCAAAAGTCTGCATCAAATTTTAACACATGAACGGAAAGCCTCCGGCCCACGCGTTTGAGAGAATCTGATGAAAAAGCATGTCGCTGACTTTCATCCAGCAAGCCATGCCGAGGCTCTTTACCAGCTCAAACCCTCCAATCACGGAGCCCTCCAATCGGACCAATTGCGAGCTAATCCTCAAGCCAATGCACCCAGAAGATATCTTGCAAATGGGAATCGCACAGAATACTCGCCCAGGAAAGCTTCGCGTGACTGTCCTGCCAGGTCTCGGTAGCCCAACGGGGCCTGAGCATCTGCGGTTGAGGTAACTTTTCTTGCGCTTTGACCTGAACAGAGACAGCCGGAGGCTCGCACCTGTGCGGCGTGGACCACTCCAGAGAGCTCCGGCAGTTGCTGCATTACGGCCTCCATGGCCTCCACAGAAGAGATGAGCCCGTACATGTTGTCTTACCTTCTCTATTACTCCATCGTCTTGAGAGTTGCATTTGTCAATGAAACACCACCTGGAATGCTTGGCTTGATACCGGATTTCCGCAACGCCAGAGACCCGTATTTGTTCAAAGCATCATGCTGCCCTGGCTTAGATGTGACTGTTAATGCCAGGGCAAGGGCATTATCAACGTGAATGCCTGAAAAAGCTGAACGTTGAAACACTTTCACAAATCGGGAGTCGCCTCCAGGCTGGACACATCCACACGCACCCTGAGGCAGATCAGAGTCAACTGGCTTCATGCATCATTCCTGCCAGGAAATTTCTCCTGGACTGTGATCCCCAAGACGAAAATGCACGGCCAGCTGTGGACAGGAAGATCTGTTGAGGCACCGGCTACTTTCTAATCTGGGGTCTTCTTGGCATCATGCTGTGTAATTTGTGACACGGCTTTTGCAAGAGTGGATATGACGGATCTCCTCATCTGCCGCTATGATTCCGCAATGTTCCGCAACTCAACATCATCCCGGCTGCCCAAAAACTTGCTTAGTTGTCCCGAGACGAACCATTTGCCGACCTCTGCAGCTTTCTCTGCAGTCGACCTGCAGGTGGCAGTTAAAGATTTCAGCTGCTGAGGACTTCGCCCTTCAGCTCTTACTTAACAAAGAAGGACTTCAAATTCACAGGTGCGGGATCATGACAACTCGCAAGCCTTTATAAAGCGCTCATGCCCAGTCACAGCACCGCAACGCCAAACATCATCTCATCCATCCATTCATTCATTCGTCAATGCATCCATCCATCCACTCATCCGTCCGTCCATCCGTCCATCCATCCATCATCAAGCCTTCCTCCTACAAACCCTTCTACCAACCCTTCCAGAAACCGTTCCACAAACCCCTCTATAAACCGGTCTTTAAGATCGTTCTAGAAGAACTCGAACATCATGCTTCCCCTCCCGTGTACTGGCGTGATTCCAGATTCAAGACTCGGCCAAAATGCTTCCCCTTCATGTACTGGCAGGATTCAGAGACACGACCAACCGCGAATCGGCAAGCACACAAACAGTGCGATCTCACGCAAACACAAAGCTTCATCGGCGGGATTCAGGTGGGATTCAGGAGTATCACCACACGCGCAGCGCCGAGATCGTTGTATCCAAGCAGAGGGCTGTCGCCACGAGACCAACATGAGGTCAATGAGCTGGAATTTACAATCGCATTTACCGGAGGATGTGCACACACTGGGTCCACCGAGAGGGTTATCAAATCCAAACACGAGTCGACACGGCACCACACGCCGCAGGCATCCGGAGAGGGTTGCCAAATCCGAGGACGAATCGTCACGGCACCACGCGCAGCCCAATTGTAATTTCAGGCGCGGCGACTCCAACTAGCCCTGCCCTCTGCATGGAAAGATATTTACAATGTTACTTTCCGAGAGCGAATCAACCTGACGAAAACCCAACGGTCAACATGGGCCAACCAATCTCAGGGAAACCTCAGCGCCAACTTCTTGATATCATGTCATGCGACGTCACAACAACCTAAGGCAAAACCTCACATCAACATCATGTCAACATGCCAGCCGATCATGCCATCCAACACCACCTCCACCGAAAAAACCTTCGCCATGCTTACAGGAAAAAGGATCTCAAGAACTACGGTGTGGCCTTCCAGTTCCTCGAAGAGCGCATGCTCCTCAATCCAAAGTGCCGGGGCTTTGGGAGACACATTTCAGAGCTTGGGGCTCCTTATGGGGCTTTGCAGGCACGAAAATCCGTGGCAATCACGGGATAGCGCTGCATATGCGACCTAAACGGCCATTTTGCCAGATGATCTCTCTTGCGTGCCCCCGTTCTGAGGTATCACAGCCATGAACTCTCGCTCTACCGTGCTGAAGGCTTGCCAGACCCACGCGAGGGGCCTGCTTTGCTATGACTCCTCGTCGGGAAAGGAGCACCAGCCCCTGCAGACAAACACGAAAGCATTCACCCCATGGAAACGTATCGGATGCCCACAAGCGCTTCTGCCCTGAACGCCGTTGGTCCCTTTCACAGCAGAAGCCTGAACACACCACGACACCCCAACCTCTAAAGATCAGAGCGAAGCCTCCGCCTGCCGTGCCAGAGCCTGTGCAGCCAGTAGACCGATTCCTCCAATCGGGAGCCAGTTCAATTCTTGGTCAGTTGCAAGTCATTCCAAACGTGTGGTTCTGTTTCTGGGCGCCCTTTAACCTGTGCAGTATGTGTTAATCGTGTCTTCCACGATGTTCGACAGTCTGTCGAGGGTTCGATCGCGCTCCAGGCTCCTTCCGAACATTGCCCAAGCGCGAGCTCTTGAATGCCCAACCTCCTGTGCCGCCGGAAACCAAGTGCCAACCGCTCAAAGGAGGCCACGGCCTCGAGGCGACAAAGTTGTGCGACTTCTGCCTTTCTCAGTCTCTGCTCGGTGACGCCACGCTCGATCACTGAAGTCGCAAGTGGAACAGTCGACGCTGCGACTCTGATCACAATCAAGTGCGCAACACGTCGAATCGAGCAAATGGAACACGCCTGGCGGCATGTTTCGCATATGCAAAACATCCTTTCCCTCGTGAGAAGCCAACGGAGTACCATCAAAAGCTGGTAGGGGTCGCAGGCGCGGAACCTGAGTGTGTCCAAGCATCTGCTTACAGATCAAGCTTGCACCATGAGAGCGGTCATTAGTCAACTAGTCCCTCATAGGTCCCTCATCCAGCGACGCAGGTCAGCTCGGAGACACTTTCAATCATATTTCGTCAGTCCCAAGCGGCCAGAACATGTGGATTGCATCGGCGATAAGCGCATTCCAGCTCAGCCTCACCCAGGTTGCTGAAGGTTGCGCTTGGGGCTTGATGGCTTGGCTGCAGATGTCGTGTTTTTGGGGTCGCAAAGCGCGTTCCTCGCAGGTCTTCCTTTCGGCTTAGAACACGCTTCTCAGGTCGGTCCTCCTGGTTCAAAAGTAGCGGCAACAGCTGCTGCAGATCTTCGGGTCCTCGGGCTCGTGGCATTGCTTGCATGTCGAAGTTCACTGGATCTCGAATATGAATGTAGATGCTAAAGTGATGTTCAATGAATTCTCTGATCCAGGATGGACTGGCCGAGACATGTTCAGAAGTCAGATCAGCAGATGTCTGCTTTCCTGAGCTAACGGCCATCCGTGTCCAAGAGCCGAACGCGAACCTCAGTCACTGAACCACCGCAGCCAGCCAAAGTTCATTCTACACGCATCCATCTGCCTTCCCACCCGGAGGACCTAGCTCTGAGGCCAGGGCTCAGGCCTTGGCCTCCCATGGCCCTGAGCCTAGTCTAACCCCAAAGCTCTGCCACCGGGCCACCCAAGGAGCCTCCAGCCGCAAGGAGCGGGCCAATCCCCAAAGAGCAGCTGCGGCTGGGGAGCCCTTCAGGGATGTTAACACAGGGGCAAGATCTTGGAAGACCGCAGAAGGTATCTCAGCAGGACTTCATGCAGTGCCTGCACTTCTCTTGTACTGTAGTAGATCATGTTGCATTATATCATATCACATTATATCACAGTAAGCTATCTTTTGCTATGCGGTTGCATTTTGTAAGCATGCTATAAGATGCTAATAACATTTTGTACTATAACATAGTATACTGTATTACATTACATTACATTACTTTGCTATGACTTTAACATTGTACTACCTTATGATATATCACATGTTATGTCTTATCATGTTAGATTATGGTATACCATATGAATATACCGTATATTGTCTTGCATTGGTTTATGTTGTATCGCGTTGTGATATAGTATACTACACCAAACTCTACCAGACGACATCATAGCACGCTAGACCATACGATGATATATGATACTATATTGTGTTTTGTGTTGCATTGTAATACAATGTCATATGACATGTCTACCCTTTTATAATAAATTGTATTCTATGTAAACAGTAGATTAGTTTACATTATGTTACATTATACTATATCAGATCATGCTTCTGTCGAGTGCAAAGGGCTCGCAACAGGCTTGTGAGAATGCAAACAGCACGCATGGAGGTACACTAGGACAGTGAGACAAGTTCAGCAGTCATGGAGGATACATTATCTTCAAGACATTTAGCGCTGCATTGAGCAAATAAAACATGGAGAACTTGGCACCACATTTCCCAAGCAAAGATGACGAGATTACCGCGAGGAATACCTCGAGAGGCTGTTGCCTTTGGACAACGTCCCGACGTATCAACTTCATGTTACACAGCAATCACAGCAAAAGGTCCTCGACGATGTCTAGCTGACTGTTTGATCGCATTTAAATGTCGTATACTATTGACATCAAACGCGTTAGCATCTCCGTGCGGTATCCTATATGCATCTTTATAGGCTTCAGTGGTCCAATCTGCTTTGGGCCTGCCTGGCCGTCTTCTAGGTGGGAGCTCTTGGTGTCAATCCGTCTGTTTTGAAAGTAACTTGAACTAGAGGATCTTCTGGTGTGTCAGATCATACCATACCATACCATACCATACCATATCATACCATATCATACCATATCATAACATATCATATCATACTGTACTATACTACATTGTACAATAATACGTTATATTACGCTATGTGTTGTATTTTGTCTATTGTATACTTATTTTGTCACTACAACTATAGGAATGAATAACGTATATGATAGTATGTTATACCGCATTATTTCATTCCAAAAAGAAGGTCAGTCGCCTAGATTCCCAGATATTGGTGATGGTTGAGGCGTGAGCTGCTTGCGTCTTGCATTGGTTACACCACCAGCATTTCTCAAATTGCCAGCGCTTCTGGCCTCCCCAGGGATGCCAGCCAATGCGCATCGCTGGGACACCACCTCCCATCACAGGGAAGCTGCATCGGTCGACCCTCTGAAAATTTCGGTGCATGAACTGGTTTAAACTTGCTCTGTTCCTGGTTACTTGTTTAAGGCCTCGCATATGAGAGCATGTCAGACACTTTTAACATCGCGCCTGCCCTGAAACCTCAAATCCCGAGAAGCGCCCCACATGTCCTCGTACTCTCAAGGCTTAGCCGAGCCGCTTTTGCCCTCAACCGGTCGGTCTGAAAAGCCTGCCAACACCACCCGATGAGCTCCAATCCTGCTCATGGCACTGACGATCCCTCGAGCAAAAGAGACTTTCTGCCTGGTTATGCCTGAGATATAAGTTGAATCTAACACCATCCAGATAAGCATCGAAGGCGGAATGTGTTAGATGTAGCCGAGCGGCCACGAGCTCTGCACGCACACGGCTGCGACAGAGCGCACCACTGAGGGCCAGGAGCCTGCAAAGGCTTCTGAGAGCTTGACATAGAATTGCACAGACTGAACCATCATCCCTAATCCTAAGCCCCGGACAAAGTCGACCACAAGATTCTCGACGACTCTACGAAACAGAGTGAATGCAGATAAGCTGCTGGAGGAATGCAGTCGGGGAGTCTCGGGGGCATTCTCGGGTCTCAAAGGCCCCGGCTCGAAGATCTCTTCAGCCAGCAGCCCTGCATCTGTCCCAGAGCGCCTGCAGACTTCGGCTTCACGGGGGGGGATCGTCTCGGCGTTCGAGGTTTCGGCTTGGGCTTCCGGTCTGGACTTCCGAGGTCGGCCACGCTGCCCCGCGCAGGCCTCCGATAGAATCCTGGAGACGGGCCTTGAAGCATTTCAGGGTGCACTGACAGGCCGGAGACTCCTGCAATTTCGGATATTCGGTCCCAACTCCTGTCCCGCGGCCTTGGGAAGAACAAGAGACGGCAATGGGTTTAGCACCTGCCAGCCCTGAAGAGGCCAGTAACATCTAACGGTGGTCTAACAGCCCTCTCCCACCACCGTAAAACGGTGCCGAGCCTCAGGAAGAGAACCAGCGAGGAACCGGGAGACTTCACCTCGAAAACATCTTCAGCACAGTTCGAACCTTCCTACCGACCAGGGTTCAACAGGGAGGCCTCGGCAGCCAGATTGGCAGGCAGACTCCCAAAGTCCTTCGGGGCTACGAGGATTTTGGCGTCCGGGTGTACACTTGCGATCATCTCATATCTGGGACTGAGAGGAAAGTCCAGCATTATGATGCTTTGGCAGTAGATCTGGATGAAAAGATCCCTTGACGAGACATCAACCGCTCAAGCGACACTTTTTCAAGCTGTGATGACTCCACTCTGGCAGAACGATGTGCAGACTTCGCATGTATCGCTGCTCTGCGGTGCTGCCTCCTCCGCTGACTCCACAGGGCTCCGGCGCCGAATGTCGCCTCAAGAGCGAATGCCAGGCCCGTGTAACAGAATATTCAATATTCATGTCCCATGCATGAGACCCTGCTGAGATGCTCTGCCTGCATGCTGATACTCCGTAACCGGACCCTCAAAGTTCCCAGCCGGTGAGCAAACGCACGTCTTTCAGGTCCGGTGGCAAAAGAGCCTAGGTCTTGGAACTTCTCTGCAAACCTGGTTAGGTCGCCGTACAAATCTGGGCAATTGAAAGTACCAAACAAGCACGACCCGTATGATTCCAACGTAGAGAAGCGTCCACCGCAAGCTGCGCTGTCAACACTCCGTGCATAACAACTACTCTGTGCAGCCCTGCAGCTACGATCAACCGGTCGCTGTCTTTCAGAGGAGATGGCTTCTCCTTCCGATGCTCGTGCTCTCATGTGCTAAGTGGGCTCAGACATTCATGACACCAAGTGCGTCTGGGGTTTAAGGACCATGCAGATCTGCGTGATTCAGGATAGGTTGCTGTGGTGGTACAGCTTGAGACAACCCGCATCGTTCAGTACGGTGTCTTCAGCGCATCAGGAATCGGGCACAGGGCCGTATCCGCCCTTCGCAAGCCAAGTCCGTTGCTTTCCTACTACAGCCGGAAGCAGCTGAGCAGGATGCCTCAATCTCTCTCCATTCCGTCCATTGCACATCGAAGAGCTTTCCATCGAGAACTGCCGGGGCAACCTGGCACAAGCGCTTCAATGTGGTCAGACTTCGAGGAGCTGCAGGAGGCGTAAGAACCTCGGGGATCAGGAGTGCTTGTGGGAGCACTCTCGGTCTTCTGGAGAGCTGAGTCTAAGTTTGGATAGGTGCGGGTCTACACCTGCTTCGGGGATGCTGAGGTGTTCATCACTATCTCTGCACCCCCGGTACTCAGTACCTGCCTGGCGTATATCCCGCGGAAGTACCTACGAAGTCGACATGGAAAGATGTCTCGACGTGTCTCGACGAGTCAAACCATAACCCTGCACATATCGCTCCCAGCAATCGCAACGGATCATTCCGACGCCTTCCACGGGAACGGCAGGGATCGAAGCCGCAGTCGCCTTGTGCAGATGGTAGTGAGGAAAGTGTGCAAAACCCAAGCTCCTTGACGTGTCTCTGCACAACCGGAAACCAACTATCAGTCGTCTCAGATTCTCCATGTCGCGCTTCAAGATCTTAGCTGTGACGTTTCGGCACTTGAAGCTTGCCGACGGTACCGGTGCAGCTCCGAAGCCCGCCTGGCTGGAGGCGTTGCTGCGCCAGTCCGCACGATCACATGTGCATTTGTACCTGTCCAGTTTGGCCAGAACTCAGCCGCTTTGCTTGGTCTGGCGTGGTGTCAGGTGTGAAAGCGAAAACTTCGACCGCATTGCGAGCATACTGCAATGTCGGGGTCTGCGGCGAACTTTCGGCCTCCAAATCCGAAGGACGATGCTCCTCGCTCTGGCCGGGCCGCTACCGCTTCTGAGGCAAACCTGAGGTCCCAAGGCAAGAAAATGGCGAGAACCTTCGGTCTTCGCGACCAGAGATGCAGCTTTCATTGATTCATGCCATCGCAGACCGCAACACAAAACTATGGAATACGAAACCCTAAAGCCACGTTAAGCGTTGAACCTAATACTTTGCCGAGTGGCGCCAAGCAGCCAGAACCGTCTGCACAGCGCAGGTCGAAGTGCGCGTTCATCACCTGCTGAAGGTCTTGGATGTGAGATTGAAAGCAGCCGATCGGGACGTAGTAGTTTCGGATCGCACCAGCTGCAGCCATCGGTGCGGCTATCCAGAGCGTGGGAAAGTTGAGCAAAGCGATGACATTTTTTAATTTGCATTCTCATGAACTCTAGTGATTGTCGGCTTTTCTGTCTGTTGTCTGGGCAGGAGGCAGATTGGGCTGAAAGCATCGTCACTACCCAAGTTCGCCTTTACATCCTCAGAAACAAGAATGAACCCACGAAGACCTACTGCCGGCCTGGAGATGAATCGACGGCGCCGCACATTGTGCGAAGAGTCGCAGTAGGCTAGCCGCCTGAGGTCTCTCTGGCATTGGGCCTTGTCGAGTTTTGTTGTTGTCCGTCCGAAACGTTCGCAAGCTTTGCGTACACTAGATTTTGTCGGATGTCGGTGGTAGGCATCTTGCGGTTGCAACGTCAACCTCGGTCCTGAAACGTGCTCTTGCGACAACAGCAAGAAGCCTACAAATCCGTTCCTGTTCTGTCCACTCCGACCAAAGTGCGAGGCCTCTCCGGGAGCCGAGCCCGGGACCCCTGCCAAGGCCTCGCCATGTCCGAGCCCTGTCTTCGAGGAGCTGAGAAGCCTGAGACTGAGAGCAGTCTGAGAGGGCTCCAGGGTTGTGGGATGCTCCGGGCATACGGCATACGGGTGCTGCAGGTTTAGGATCTTTTTCGGGTCGCTATCGTCTTTCGGCATGGCGCTGACCAGCTCTTTCCAAGCCTGGGCACGCTCCCCTGCGCATCTCGAGTACTTTCTCGGATGCTGAGAAAAAAAACACGAATCTCAATTACTGCCCTGTGCTGCGCAGAGTTGCGGGGCAGGGGCGAGGGTAGAAAGAGGAGGGAAACACAGACGGTTCGCTACCAACTTGGTGTCCCTGACGAGAGATCTTACGTCGCACATGCTTGTGGACCTCACTTGCAACGGGCCATGGAAATTGCAGAACCTCCCGCAGCTGCGTGTTTTCAGTCCCGACATTCCATGCCATTCCTACTTCCCTCAACTCTGACGCCGCCAGTGGGGAGCCGGCACAGGGCCGCCGTCGAGCAGCCTAAACACCCGGTCGAGCGCTCCCACCTTGCGGAGCTCCGTCTTTTGCAGCTCAAGCCCCGGGAAACCTAGCTATAAGCTTAATCGGACGCGACTCTCGGAAATGCGCAGCTCTCCGACCTCACTCGATCCAGAAATGCTGATCCTACCGCTTCCAATTTTGAGCGTGTCTTCCGGAGATTTAAGATGCTGGATTTTGCGAAGTTTCTTCAACCTCAACTGGAACCCTCAACCGTTGAAAGCCCATGAAAGCCCTGAGGAAGGTCGTTTTCGGCTCTGTAAGGCCTCGATCGGATCTCCCAAGGCGGTGCCGGTGCCATGGGTCCTTAAAGGGGATTTTAACAGATGCACGCCTTGGCATGTAACCTTAAGAGCTGTTCCAGCAGAGAAACCGTCGTTTATCTATGCTTGGAGGGAGCTCTGCGAGCCGCAGCCTCGGCATGCCTCGGCAAGAAGAGCTCGGCCTAGGCCTAGCGAGGGCCCCGCTCCACGACGCTCGGCGCAGAATGACCGCAGGGTCCATCGCAGGCTCTGAGGGCGGCAAGGAGCATCTGCGAAGAGGCGAAGAGGCCGAATGAAAGGCAGGGTTTGGGGTGGTTGGATTCATCCTATCTAACCGTCTAACCTCCCAGCGAACGAAGTCTACTAAGTCTACGACTTTATTCTTAAGCTGTCGTCTCTGAACATCTCTCCGGCCTCCTCCTGCGCAAGGCCACTGGGCGCTGTAAAGCTCGCACTGCGACCGTCGCTGTTCACGGCGCTGCCGAGCAGGTGCCCTGAGAAAAGGGTGTCAAGCCATGCAAGCAGAGTTTTCCGACATATGACGTACAGTATGTCTGGGGTTTTCTGTTTTTAGACGCGGAGTGTGGACCCTGTTTGTGCGAGACGGGCCTGTCTCCCTTGGTGAAAATTTATCTTGCAACTGCCGCAGCTGATGTGTGATACGTCGACTGGGCCGACCGGCAGTGCATCCAAAGAACCTGTTCCGCGACTTTTCCATTGCATGCTGGGTTGCAACAAACTTCGCCTCGATCTCAAGTTTGAATACTCAGTTGCCAAATTCACTCAGGCCCAGAGCATGCACGGCGGGTTGGCGAAGGCTGTTTCTTGCGTTTTGGAGCTGGGGACTGCCTTGAGGGAGACTCTCACACGGCATCTGTCATGAAAACTGAAACGACCGCTCGCGTGAGTCAAGCAAGCATTGCTGACTCGTCTACATGAATGCCCTAACCCTATAGTGCGCAGAAGCAAAACCCTGTCTAAACTGGCTCCCGATCTAGAGGATTCAACCGGACCCGCGCCAGAAGTGCTGCAAAAATGAAGCATGCGCCATGCATCCATGGTATGCAGAGGAGACTTGGAACGAATTGCAAGCAACATCTTCCGTAAATTCTAGCATGTTCATCATGAAATTACAATCAGTACAATGCACTCTTATGTACTGAAAACGCTAAGAAAATCAGCAACACCACAGCTGATAATTGCAGTGTGGACCAGCACGCTTATTGCAAAGGGAAGCGGCCCGATCATGATCATGCGATTCTTCCTTCATCTTCCTTCTACGATGCCTTTGACCTTGCAGCTTTGGCAAACCTGTGATACAGGCATCCGCCTTCCGCATGCTTGGCTTCGTTTGCCGACCTCAATTCGTACAAACGAACTCCGATCGTGCAATGCCATGGGCCACGGGAACCTGTTCTCTACAGAGTCTGCTGAAGCAAGTGTTAAACTCGCAATACGAGGGGTGAGTGAAGGGCAGTAAAGTCTTGAAGGAAAACAGGCTTTCGCAAGATTGCATCGACTTGGTTTTGCACCACTGGGCAGGCTTGTTCCAAATTTGGTTTGGTCCATAGTCCACCAGTGACCAGGCAGAACGATCGCAATCCGTGAAATCAGCTGGTCTCCACTCTTTGCAATCGACCGCATGAATCTAAGCCGTGGCACAGCTGGATTGCTACGATGCCCTCACCACGCACGTAGCCGTCTGCAGTGGCATTGAACGTGAAGCAGCGGCCGGCGCGTGAGAGCCTCGAGTCAACGTAGAGGTGACCAAGGGTGCAAATGAGGACCGCGCAGGAGTTGAGGATGTAGGGCACAACCTTTCTGACTTTTGCCTTCCTTGCCATACTGCAAGGCAGACCTGTCCTGCTGTTCCCATACCTTTCACTCATAGGTAAGCTCTGAATCGCAACTACAGTTGCGCAGCAAAAGTCGCTCAGATGCTGGCATCTGCGCGAGGCTGTACAGCACGAAGACCTTCCAGACAAATCGGGAATGATTGGCAGCTGCCTGTCAACAAACATGGGAGGAACAAGAGACACCAGCACCGAACCTTGCAGCAACTTGTTGTGAATTTGTGGCAGCCGAAGCCAATGAACAACGAGCCAGTGCAGCGACAAATACGAAAAGGAAATAAGCATCGATTGAACAATCGAAAAGATAAGCTTAATGTTGCCGGGTCTTTCGTGGCGACATGTGGCGACTGAAAGAAAACTATTTCAGAGATTTTCAGAGTTACAGAGAAGCTAAGGAGGCTCACCCTGAAAACACTAGGCCACTAGGCAACCCCAAAGGCACCCCCTTTTTTCCTTCACCACGAAGCGTGCGTGAGATTCGTGTGACATGGGAGTGTTTCAGCAAAAACATTGTGTGGCTGCGAAGTTGTTGGTTGAGATGAGGCTGATCTACCCTCCGGCGGACTGCAGATTTCCAGCTAAGCACGAGGCACCATTTTCTATCTTCAAGTCTGCAATGAAGAAGGGACTTCCAGGAGACTACATCACATGAAACTTCGTGTAGCAGTCGAGCCTGGGGCGCAATCAGCAGGTTGGCGGCTGCCACGAGCGCAGAAGGAACGTCTGGCATGCGTGCAGTGCCGTCTGAGTGTTGTCCCGAAGCAAGCATTCGGCATGAGGATGGCGATCCGGGCCCCCAACATGCAACCGTGAAACTTGAGACCTGAAATCAAACATATCCGACAATGGCACCTGGAAGGTACCTGCATGCTGCATCCACGGCCACTAGTGCAGTGGAACACGCCGTGTCCACCTCGATAGCTGCTGCTGATTCGGGGCTTGGATCGCCAAGATTTGAGATCTACATTGCAAGCAAACAAAGCATCGGGAGCGCAGCCCTGGGTTCCGAGCCCTTGATTGATTGGCTCATCCCCTCTGCTCATCTTCGAAAGATTCAAGGTACGCTCCTCCTCGCTCCTCCTCTCTGTCGATGGGTCCCATATTATCAAATCATTCCTGCACTCCAGAAGTTTGTGTCGGAGTCGGAGTGTTGGACTCCACCGGGCACCGGACGACAAAGCTGGGACCCCGGAGGGCAAAGTTGTAGGAGATCCTGGTGGGAGATTGGGACTTTGGGCACGCACCAAAAAACCAGTAGATCGACACGTCGCTGCGTGGTCTCCGATCTCAAACTTCTTTCGCGATCTTTCGGGAACCATTGCTATGAGTGTCTATGGCATCCATATTCACGTGTCGGAGCCTGTTGGCCAAGACGGCTCCGTTGATGGCCAGGCCACCATAGGCCGAGGTGTAGGCTGCAGGCTCCTGGCAGATGAACATCGAATTTGACGAGAATAAGCTCATAGTTCCGGTCAGGTTTCTGGGCTGAATGCTTCAAGTCGTGGGCGGGGTCGATATTCTTACCGCCCACGTTGCCTGACCCTGTTGCTGTGGCGATCAAACTCCTAGGAACACGAAGATAGAAGTGGAATAAAGTCAAAACAACCCAAAATAGGTCCTAGGTCCTAGGTGCTGTTTCATGACTTCCCGGTGCCACTGTCTGCGTCCTGACCATGCCCTGCCGCCGTCTCACTCAAATCGACTCAACTGCAACAGCCACCGCACTCTTCGGACTTATCTCAACAAGGCTTATCGGTAAACAGTCCATACCAGGGGGTTCGGATTCTGGACAGGGCTTCCGGCCTGGAGGAGCATCCAGTCGTGCTGAGTGCTGCCCACCACCACAGCGATGTCTGGACTGCCTTCGACTGCTCTGCACCCGGAAAGCTTCCTCTCCGAAGCTCTGTCTCTCGCAGCAGCCAGGAGGGGGCTGGAAGCCTGAAATCCAAGGACCTGATCCCTTCGCAGTGCCCGAGCCTTGCAGTGGGTGCAAGGATTCGGCCGCCACCTGTGGAACGCCAAGAAACCCTTTTGGCTTCAACTTCGAGCGCTTCAACTTCTGCGCCCCTCCTCCAGGACCTGCCGCTGAGCCGGGCCCATCCCTGCCGCCTTGAAGACATGGAGGGGCAGGGGGTTGCTTTGTTATCGACGCGCAAGAAATCCCTGACTAGAGTCCGTCTGATGTCTGCGCCAACCCTGCCTGGCCTGCCTGGTGCCTGGGTTAGGCTCTTTCGAACCTCTACCGTCTTGAGACCTGCACTACAAGGGCTGCACAGAAACCCAGATTGCAAGGAATTTCTGCGAGGTATCCGATGCACCCTTGCTCATGTACTTCGACACGACAGTGCGGTGCGTGAAGCATCGAGACTGTAGAAACTTCTGCAGTCTGCAGTTCTGCTTTGCAGATGTGCAGAACGTCGTCAACCAGCCCCGGAAACTGAAAGAGCGGGGCAATCCAGAACTCCGCCAAGCCAGCCCCAAATTCTTCTAGAGACACGATCGCCTGGCCCAGAACCGGCCGGGCTTGAGGACATGGTGCCAAAGCCGCATCTAACTCATAACTCCAATGAACCCCGCGGCGCAAGACCCATAAGAGCATTCTGGAAGACCTGAACTATCTGAACTGACATGTTGCAGGTATCCCACCTCCGAGGCCGACATGCCGAAGTGATCGGCGTCAAAGAGCTCCAGACCATCCATGAAGCTACCATGCCTGTGGAAAGGGCGGCTCACCCAAACCTTGAGGGGTTTTCGCGCAAAAACCCGTGAAGCCGAAAAGCCTCAATACACGCTGACACACCACGTGCCATTTACGCCATGACAAAGCCCGAACTCTAGACATAGCAGCAACAAGGTGCTGCTTTTCCCGCCAGTGCAGCCCTCCAGTTGGAAAACCGTCTGCTTGCAGAGGTTTGGCAACACAAGCAATACTACCCACAACAAGTTTCACACAACATCGCACCACGGCAGGCCTGCTGTAGCTGCGAGACGGATCCTTCCAACCAGTGCAGTGCAATTGCGAGGACAGAGGTCTTTCTCTGCAGCGTGCTGGCTGCTTGAAGGAGAGATGGAAAGAGGAATGGACCTCTGGACGCACACCCTACTTTCCGCAGCACATCCACGACAGCTGTTCTTGCAGCATTTTTTGGAGAGACTTGATTTTAGCGTCAGGCCCTTCTTCGGGCAAAATAGCTTCGATGGCAGGATTATTAATAGCTGGGTATAGACCAGTCCATTGCACTGCAATGGCGTCTGTGAGTAGGGTACTGGCATCATGTACTGACTGTGCTGTCGTGCACAGGTGCGCAACAAGTGACGCCTGAAACTGCTCTTAGAACAAGTGTACGTGCACTTTCTCTTGTGTTTTTGGTTGAAGACGACATTGGGATAGTCCATACCCGGACATGCAAAGGAAACTACTTCACCAGTCCCGGCCTAAAAGTCCGTGAATTGGCAAGCTGTGACCAGACTGCGAAGAGTCTACAGCAGGGGGAACTAGCTTTGGCCCGTATTGTCCTCTCCAAAGTACATGCTCACGTCCCAGCGCTCAATGGGTACTTGATGCACCTCAAGTTGACAAGGACTTGAGGGCTTCCGGGGCAAGATTTGGGCTTCGATGGGCTCGGTGGTCTGACTGCAGGGCTCGCTGGCTCTCAGGGTCCGCACTGATCCTCACTGACGTGCTCTCATCTGATCACCGATGCTGGATTTGCTGCACATTCTGATCCCACATCCTGCAGCCGACACCGACCCCTGCACATTCCGGACAATGCAGCTGCCCTCAAACAGAAAATCGCCATTCGTCAATGCAATGGAAAGGTTAAACCACCACAAACTGAAGCCAAGCTGGCTTAACTCCGAACCTGCAATCACACCAAGACCCGAGCTGCATCTTGACCCCGCACTTCGATACAGGATGCCGAGCGCAAAACCGAGTTGCCTCGACAGCAACATATAAACACCATGATAGCAGCAGCAGTGCAGCTAGAAAATTCGCCGCCGGCATGTTTCGAGGACAACCCTGCTGCTGTCGACATGGCACATAATACTTGCAAAACCGTTGGCCGACACACTGTTGGGAGGACGAGAAGCCATCCCAAGAAAATGACTACGAGTGTTGCGGTAGCCCCTGGTCTTGGCCATGGTCATGGGTATGGCCAGGTCGATTTAGAGCTATTGACATGACACGGAGGAAGAGCTGCATGTATTGAGGAAGTTGGCAAACCACCAGGCGGAAGAGTGCCCAAGCATCTGGCCGATACCCACCGATCGCGGTCGAGAAGATGGTGCAGGCACCTCGCAGCAGCAGATAACTTAAAACCCGGCTCCCCAGCCGAACGACAAACTGAACCATAAAGAGCACAAGGCTGTCGGCGGTGAGTTAAACTCCCGGAGAGAATCCTGAATCACGGACTGACAAGTGCATTGTGCTGAGACACTGTGTTCTTGCTTTGGCATCAGCATGCCGCATTCCGTTGTTGCATGAGATATCTTGAAGATGATTCCTGCTTTCCGCAATGGCTGACCAACTCAAACTCAGCCAAGACAGCCAAAAAGACCACTGCTGCAAGCTCCGGAAGAGCAGGCTTTTGAGATAACAAAGCACCTACGCAAAGACTGCAAGTCTGCCTGGAGAACACTTAGCCTAGCCTCCGGCATAGCTCCCGTCTCCGCGGCGGCTGGAGGAGCCTTCAGCTGGAGGAATGTTGGACAAATCACAAACCTTTCAGTTTGGGAACGCGAGCTCAGGGCTCTTTGCTTAGGCTGCGCAGTTGTGAGCTCTCAGCCAGCAAATGCTAGGAATGAACACTGTATAGCTGTATGTACAGCTGTATAGCCATGCCCCGAAAGCTCCCCAAATGCAAGAAGACTAGGCTTTTGACAGTGCCCCTAGGCAGCCGACCATGCGTGACTTCAGAAAGGATGCGAGGTTGGACGCCGTTGGGTAGTCGAACACCATCCTGCGAGCACTGCGTCTTTCAGATCTTCCTGACCCCCTCTCCACGCTCCCTGCTCCAAGAGTTCTCTCCTGGAACCATCCGGACTTCAGGGTGCTTCTGATGCAACCATAATTAGAAACGCACACCAGCTGAGGCGAGGTCGTGGCCGGCAGGCCAGGCATGCACAACGACCTGCAGGAACAGAGTCTACTGGGATAGGCATGCACAACGACCTGCAGGAACAGAGTCTACTGGGATGGGTGTTTCAAGGAACAGAGTGGCACCTGCTGAGACGGTTTCGGAGCTCCACGGCAGCCAGAGAATCCAGGCCGTGCCTTTGCAGGACGGGCAAGTGAGGTTGTGAAAAGTCAGCAGGGCCTTGGCGTGTGCACAACATCCAGGTCTAGATCCTTGAACGCGATACTTCTCATCCGAAGTCCCGCGCCTTGGCAGAAGCTCCTAAGCCCTCATCTGCATCTTCGTGAGAAGGTTGGACTTCGCAACGGCGCGAGACTCTATCTGTCCGGAACTATCATTTCTGGGCATCAGGTATGACTGCATGACTCTGGAGATTCTCCTGTTCGGGAACGCTCAGTGCTTATGCACGGCACAGCCCTCAGCCCGATTGCAGCCATTCCCGGGCACATGGCTCCATGAGAGGCGCATCAGCAGCCGGCGACGTGACACGGAGATCAAGGAGAGCAGCACGGAGAAGTGCCTGGCGGGAGGGTTGAGAAGCGTTGAGGGGCTTCAGGCTTCTGAGCATTCTGTGGCACTTTTCGAAGACGATGCTGCACTTCAGATCCTGTTTGTGCTGCAGTAAATTCTGCGGCAATGCCTCCACTTCTGCCGTCCCTGGAACCGGACATGCCGGCCGTGGAGAGCCCTCAAACTCCTGAGACCAGTGGGCTTTTGCCGAAGCCGCCCAGACCCCCAGACCTTGCTTGAAACTCACTATACCTCCACCCGTTCGGAGCACAGCACGGCAAACATCCCAAAGCGCAGCCTGGTGCGCATGTTGCCGACCTGCCAGCATACCATCGCTCACTGGGATCCCCGCCACCAGGGCCGGAGGCACCTTCAGAAGCTGGCGCCTAAGTGTCAGGGCGACCGCTTTTGTCCTGGCTTTACAAGTGTCCTCTTCCTGGCTCACTGATCAGGATGCATACTGTTCTGAAAATATGTCCTTTGTGGATGTGCTTGGGCTTGATGCCAGGAATAAGCTTCGTTTGGGTATGGAGTTGACTCCTGAAGCGAGTCGCCTAGGTAAAAGCTCTTTGGGATGTTTGGATCCGGGGATTCCAGGGTACGTATTGGCCTGCGCTGTTCTGCGTCGGCGCGTGGAGGCGATGGGTTTGGTGATCGGATTCCAATCTGCACCCACGCGTTCAATCAAATCGTCTGGCTAGGCGAGTTTCACGAGCGGAGGCAGGGTCACACTCAATCGTGCCCAGGCACAGGTAGCGCGCCCAGTTGATTGCAGCTGCCGCAACCACCTCGACCCAAGGAATACGACTTCAGGGCTTTTCCCGCGGCATTCGAGGAGGGAGCAGGCACTGTCTGATAAGTGGTCGGTGCCCTCTTGTTCCATAGACTGGTCTTAGAGTCCAGCTGGAAGTGAAGATACTCGCGCAGGTGGACGACGCGGCTCCAGAGCTTGGCTTGGGGCTTTGGGCTAAAAGCGATCTCGAGCAGCATCAACAGTGTAGCGGGGTCTTGCTACCTAATGCTGTGTCTTGATCGCCGTCCCTTCTGAAGGGATGAGGCATGCTGCCTTAAGATCCAACCGAAGAGCACCTCTTGTTGGCCGACTCAATTAGTAGGCCAGTAGGCTCCACACTGGTCCACGTGTCTGCAAGGAGAGGCAGGCGGACAACCTCAGAGCCCAGGCGGTTCGTCATCCCAGCCGTCTCAGTTCTGAAAGAGTGTACTGTTCCGTCCGCAGCGTTCTCCGGTTTGGAGCCTTGCTTCTCCACCCTCGTCTTGGTATGGCACTCCACATCCATCGGCCTACACGTCAACATCATCGTCACTCAGTGCAGGGCTCGGCACATAATGTGAGTGCACCAGGCTGGTGGGGACGGAAGGATCCAAGCTCTGACAGAGAAGCAGACCTCCCAGAAAGTAGGCCCCCTGGTCAGGCCAGGTCACATCTGCATGGCCAGCTGCGGCGGTAGCGGCTGCCAGCCGTAAGCCTCGCAAGTTGCTGCTTGACGACTCAAGGCCTTCAGATGCCTTTGCTTGCAGATTCCTTGGCTACGGAACGCCGACTCAGGTTGGACAGCCGCGAGCGATTTGCACAGCCAGCTCGGGTCGAGCTTTGTTCATTTCGTGTTCTCCTTTTGCGTGCTTCTGGATAGTTCGGACGGATGCCCGAGGTCCTGCAAAGCAAGGAGCCTCCAATGCCAGCTCTTTGAGAGATCAAAACATGATCTCGAACCAAATCACGCAGACACCAACGCCGGCGCCTGCTGCCTCTCCAACGTTTCTGTGGCTACTGCCATGCCCACCTGCACAGCGGGGGTTCGGTGACACCTTAAAACGACTCGGGGACTGCATCGCGGCTGTCAGGATTTGGAATGCGAACCTTCGGCCGAGATCCTGAAAAACCGCACTTGGCTCTAGACGGGCTCCTGTCTTGTGATCCTCAGGGTTCGGAGTTACAGCCCTAGCCCTGCGGGCCTCTGCCCAAGGACCCCACTGGATCGCCAGGGCCTGGGAGGCGCCCCAAGCCTGTCCAGTGAAGGCCGTGGCAGCAGG